CTGTGGGAAGCAAATAGGCCAGTTGCTAAATGACTTCTGAGCTACCCTTTTTCTTAAGCATGTATTACAAAATTAGAGTGGGAAGCAAAGAGCTGTTGCCCCAGCGGATCTAGTGGAATCAATACTAATTCCTACCTCCTGGTTGCTATAAATGCCTTCCCATAGCCAAAAGCTGCCTCTCCAGCAGCGCCCCTGGCAAGCGGTCATTTCTCTCCTACCTGTAATCTGTCCTCTCTATGTAGCCTACCGTCCTTTTGAAGAAAGGGTGCCTGTACAGCACCTAGCACAATCAGACCCCTCTGCTGGCTTGAATTTCCCTATGCTATAGGAATACTAATCCCTCCCCAACAATAGAGACAGGCGCTCCACAGAGCAGACACACAAACAGACTTTCATTAGAGAATGCGGTCCCGAAAGCCTGTTTCACAAAAGGCTTTGCTGATCGGACTCAGTCATTTGAACAGTGATGGATACAGGGTATATTCTACAAGAGACTAGAAAGAAAGGTGCAACGGTATCAGCAATGAGATGCAGACACCGCACAATTCTGTAATACTAATGGGCTTAAGCACATAACCAGCCGTAACCTGAATCTTTAACATCTACTGTATAAATAATTGGCTTTTTTTTTTTTTTTTTTTGAAAAGCAGTGCCCAGAAATGCTGAGAACTGTGTATTTTAAAAAAAACAGACTCCTATTTGGGTGGACATCCCCCCATTCCCTCCAGCTTAGCAATTTGCCAACATTTCTGCTGTTAATTACTGAAATTTCAGGTGCATTCTGTGCCTTCCAGTTTGTGGACATTCACATCAACATCTCAGGCAGTGAGGGTGTCAGGGAGAGCCCTGGGGTATAAAGCCAAATTTTCCAATTCATATGCAGAATTGTGGGAGACAAATATACACACAGAGGCATTCAATTTACATAAGTGCTTGTGGGACACATTTTGAGATTTCTGTGCTAAAAATGAGAGGTTATTATAATCTATAGGTTTCCTTGCTTATAAATGCTCACAGGTTTACCAGTGTAGACCAAAATTTTCATAATCAATAGCCTCCATTTTTGTTTATTAGTTACTGTCACAGACAAGCGCTTCTGTTATTAAGGGCAATGAAATCAAATCTATTGCCGAGGCAGTGAATAACATGATTAAAAGTCTATGGCGATTGTTTGTGGCTTTGCACAGGCCCTGTGTGGAAGGTGAGTGGTATTGCTCCAGGAACATTTAAAGGACCAGTTTGCAGCCCCCAAACATATCTCATAATGAGTTAAAGATAGGGAAGGGCGGTTCTCAGAACCAGACTCGCCATTCACAGCTGTAAGTCACTTTACCTTTATCAGGGGCCGCCTTGGCCAACCTCTCAGCCTCTCTGGAGAGGACAGCCCCACACATACTGGTTTCTTTTTGCCAGAATTCCTCGCTGTCATTATGGCAGGTGGAAAAGCTGGGCACGATGGAGCCGAGACCTCCTGCTGGTGGGATGGGGCCTGCTCCCCCCTGAACAGGGCAGGGCTTGCACCTCAGCTACCGTTGAACTAGGGCTGGCAATGCAGACGGAAAGCATGCAGCTCACAAGGCTTGCTTTGCTTCACCCTGTTCCTGACCCTCTTCCTCTCTCTGCAGGTGAGGCATGGCCTGAGGTCCAGTCTTGCCTCCTGGTTTCCTTTTGGGCCAAATCTTGTCCGTACCACAGACCGCACTGCGTCCCTACCCACTCGGAAGGAAGACCTTATCTGCTGGTAGGTGATGAGGAAGAGAAGCCTCCACAAACTGCTCTCCTTAACCACTAATTCCTTAGACAGCTGGCATTTGGAGTATAACAGGCCCCAAATAAAACATTCCCAGCACGCTGAGTACAGATTCAATGCTGTAAGGCGCAGAGCACCTTCTCCAAGGGGATGAACACCTTTGATCCCCAAAGATGGCTTTGCACAGATCACTGCTTCCCCAGACTGAGCCTTTGACCCAATGACGTTTATTTGCGTGAGTCCTTCACCTCATCTGAGCTGTCCATTGCCTTGGAACTGGGTCACTGCAGTCTAAAAGGAAGAGAGCAAAAGCCGTAGTCTGAACAGAGTTTGCCAAACCTGTGGAATTCTGCAGATTTTGTAATAAATCAGGCAGCTACTCCCTGTACATCTGAGTGGAAGTGGGAGGAAGCAAATTTAAAACCGATGCATTTAAAAATCAGGAAGTTTATGTTCCTGCTATCAGGCTAGGTCTGTTTTATATCAGAAGAAGAGAAAGAAGAAAGAAACTGGAGATATATTCACAGCACAATATTGTATTGAATCCCAGTCAATGAAATTGAAGCCCAACTCCATTTTTGGCTTTGGTAGCAGCCTTCTTTACTTAGGTATTCCATTTTATTCCAGCCACACACAAATGTCCATTAACTATGAATGATGGAGTAAATATACACACGCTGCCTAACATCAGCAGGCTGCATTACTGGCTCGTCTGGCTCTCCAGCGAGTATACAGAGCCCACTCAGAGCGATGGGCTACCTGAGCTGGGCATGGGAAATGCCCGAGGTTAGATGGTGTGGCATCCCTCTATAGAAGCAGAATGCATTTGCAGGGTTCAGCGTTGCATATTTTAAATCTGAAACAGTAGTCTGCTCCCACCTGGATTGCCAGGATCATACTGTATTTATAGAATGAATAAAAATTCCTTATCAGCTGCGAGTGAATACAAGGAGATAAGCAAAGAACATGAGCAATTAGGTAACTTAACACTGTTCAGTTTACATCAGTAGGCAGCTGCTCTGTGGTCTCACCTGCAGGTACTCGGCAAAGAATTAATATGTTCAGTATAGTCAAAGGTTTTTGCTGATTCTTTATGCATTTTCACACCCATTTCAAAGATTTTCACTATTGTTATGAAGCAAATTTGTTTTCTCAATTACTCTGCCTCTCTGGCAAACATCTGCTGTCCATGCTGTGCACTGCCTATCAATACACTGATCTTTATATATCTTGTTTCTCACAAAAATTTCTGGAATTTTACTAACAAATAAGATCCTTTTTCCCAAGACCTACCCCTAAACCCCAAAGGATTATAAAACCAATGCACCAAACTTGTATTATACAGGAATATAGTACAATCAGACTTCCCTCTAATTTAATTTTGTTCTTAATCTGTAAATTTGATCCATGTAATTTTTTTTTAAAAAAAAAAAAAGTGAGACAGGCTGAAACAAAATACAGGAACGCCCTGTCTGAATCAGTAAGGGAAATTATGAGGGCAAATAAAGAATAGATAGTCACTATTTTTCAGTCAGAATACTTGTTCTAGATAGATTGCAAGCCATTTATTTTCACTGGCAGTCATATGATCTTAAAATGATTCAAACTGAGAATTCCTGCCTAGATTTTGGAAAAAACAAGAGAACCTGATGCATCAGCCTTTTTTCATTATGAACAGACAAAAGGCCCCACGGGGTACTAACTCCTCATCCAGATCCACCCCAGGGCCTTCTGTGGGGTCCTCTGATGACCTGGGTCTGTCTGAGAGGTGATTTCTAATGCATTCAGGACTGTACAGCTGGTCCTGGACTTGTCACCTGGCCAGGGCTGTTACTACAGAGACAAGATTGGGTCTGGACCCTTGTTGATTTTGCACAATGAGCAAAATGCACTTCAGTGAGTCACAGCCACCCTCCTGCACACCGCTGGAGAGCACCAATGGCAGTAATTTACTCAAGCTTTTCCAAATCCAAACTCTCAGAATCCTGACTTAGCTTGCGTGTTTCTTTCCTTACCAGTAATAGAAAACAAGCTGTAATATAAACAATAGAAAACAAGCTATCATATTCTAAACTGCTGAATAAAATAGAATACAATTTAATATAAAGCCAGCATCTAATGTTTCTTATTGGTTAGAATTTTCAGAAAGGACTAAAGGGTAGATAGAAATTGCTGGTCGGGATTCCAGAGATGCTGCTGGCAGTGTCATTTCTGCTGGCTCAGTCTACCTCATTCAGAGCTTGGGAAACATCATCAGTGTCAACATCCATACAGCCGAAATATTCTTACAGCAATCTCTGGATCAAACCCTGAATCGCAGACGGCTCCCAGCAATGCTGTCTGTACTTTCTGCCTTCATTACTGATACCACGGTATGATAAATAATTCTGCTATTGGCAGTTTGTTCATTAAAAGTAATATAAAACTACTGTCTTGAATTAAAGCAGGAAAGATTATACTAAAGCCATAAAAGAGGTATGGAGCTGCTATTGCAGCGCTGAATACTCAGTGTTTTCCCATTGACTTTTCTCAGTTTATCAAATCAGAATCCACCCCTTTTCCCTCCGCTTTCTTTTTAATACTCTCCTCAAATGAATGTTCCCATGCCGCAGCTAAGTCTCTGTGCTCCCTTGACTCTTTCCAAATTTACTGAAATATGCAGTTACGCCAGCAGAGGACTTGCCCTCCTGCACTCTCTCTTGCTGAGAAACTAATTTGCTTGTCCTTAAGCCCACGTTTCTAAATTTCCAGGAGCAGAAGTGCATTGTGGCTTTAAATATCGACTGCCAGTTTGTGGCTTGCGTCTCATGTTACACACAGCCAGCTTGGGACTCTAAACACAACTTGGGCAGCACCATTAATATCTTAGAAAAGCGTCAGTACACTTTCGAAATGCTCTATATTTTCATTCCTGAAGGCGGGGGGAGGGAAAAACATTCAAATGAAACTTTTCTAAGCCAGGGTTTAGGCGGAAATGTTACTAACTTTGCTCGGCTCGGTCCTGTTCAGGAGCCAGAGTTTGCAGAGCCCGTTTCAGTTCTTCACAGACAAACGCGCGCACACACAATCACAAAGAATAAAAAAGGAAAACAGTTTCATCACAACTTTTTTTCTTCAGGATTAGACTCGGGCATTCTTTTTTTTTTTTTTTTTTTTGGCATATGAAACACATTAGACAATCTTTTCCTTAAGCGACAGACTGATAAATCCACTCTTATTGTAAGGAGGAGGGGGGGATAAGGGTACTCACGTGGTTGAGATGTCGTATTGTTTTGGTAACTCATAATTTACGCCTTTGAAAATGCCTTATTTGTGTTGACAGTCTCTCTTCCCTGCTCAGAACCGACGGCGGGATTGAACAGAACAGCTGGAAGAGCCCAGGAAAATGCTCCTCTTGTTCAGGCTCTCCTTGCCTGGCTCCTGACCCCTTTACAACTGGAAAAGGAAACAGCACATGTGTCATTCTCTTTTGCCTGTGTAGCTCACATGAGCGGGGAGGGGCACCCATTTGCAGATAGCAGTAACTGTATTCAAGTTTTGCAAGTTGGATGTATTCCACCCCTTTGCTTTTACTAGCCAGCAACTGGTGGAAAGAAAACGCTCTTTTCATTCTTAGCCAAATCTAGACGCACCTATTAGATTCACTTCCCAAACCCCTATCCACTACTGTTGATATTATTTCTTTTAAGTGCAAAACTTGCTGCTGACTCCCTTCCCAAAATGTCTGTCATCAGTGGCTGAGACTGAACGTAGGGCTTTCAATTTTCGTTGCCCAGCAGCATCCTTAACACTCACAGTCTGACTGATTCTGTCCTTTTAACGGGTGAAAATTGAGAATGGCATTTACTGGGTCAGAGCAGCTACGTCAGCATATAGCATGAATCTACACTGTGCTCAGGACAGGGAGGCACCTCTGGCTGCGGCACAGGCTGAGGCACAGGTAACTCCGGTCCTGGCTCAGGCACAGACTCCTTTAGGCACCTTGGGCAAGGCATTTAATCTCTGCTTCAGTTTGCCATCTGTAGAATAAAGATGATACAACTGATTTCTTCCCAGTCTCGGTATTTTTATCTGCAGGCAGGCATTGTTTATAACTAGGATATATTTATTGGTCTGCATGGGTTAATTTACTCATACTCTGCAGCGGGTTTTTCAGCCTGGACTAGGCTACCAGCTCCCCTGTTTATATTGCTACCATTTAAAGCTATCTGTTTGGCTATCTGCATGCTACGCTGCAATCAGCGGTACATAGTTGTTGTAAGTGTGCATACACAGTCTGGGGCTGACATGGGCTAGGACTTCTAGGTCATACTAGAATACAAGTAATTTGTAACGCATATGTCTTAGGCACTGAGACGACTGGACAAAGTTTCCATTTTCCTGATCTCTGGGAGTCAGGATGAATTAACTGCCTGCCTGTGACAGCAAAAACACAGTAACCGTTGGAATGGAAGTGGAAAAAAACAGAGTCATGAAATTCAGGCTGAGACTCATCCTGTTTTGCAAAACTGTTCCAGGATATTTCTGTGAAATCATCTCAGTGACCTCCTACAAGAAATCAATGCTGCAAACTTGGTTCACAGTATTTATTTAACAGCTATAGGATGGAAAGAACAGTGACTTATTTACATGCCAACGACAAATAACAGCTTGTTTGTGAGCACGGATACAGTAAATGACTTCAGTCAGCATTTTGCACACTCTGGGCTTGTGGTAGAGAGCCCTGGAACATTTAGTGATAGAGCAAAGCAAGGCACAAAACAAAGAGGGAAAAATAATAGCAAAAACTCCTGATGTTGCTCCACTGGCTTCAACTCTATAGTGCAACATTGATTTACACCAGATAGCTTCTCTATGAAAATACTGGTGGGGATGTTATCTATTACTTCTTCTTCTATATTTGAAGCACAATGTGCACAGGTAAAATTGGGGCTTTCTGTCCTGGGGCATGAGAATTCTTGTCACGCAAAGTTATTACGTTTAAATCTTTCATCATCCTGATCCCTGAGAAATTTCAGATCTGCTGTTGGGAAAAGACTTCTCAGCCGCTGCAGCTGAACTGCAGGATGGAAGGTATAGATGCCTTCATTATGTTAGTGCCAGTGGCCTAGACCATTCCCAGGAGTTTTGTGGCGGACTACTCAAAATGGCATACATGCACCCAAGTGAGCCGCCCTAAGCTGAGCCATGGCAGCTCCTAGTCCTTAAACCCTTTGCATTTGTGCAACGCGTCCTGCATCTGTCATCATTGTGCTTATTGAGGCTACTCTCCTACCACCAAAATCACTGGGAGAGTTATACCCAAGTTTACATAAGAGGATCCTGGCAGAACCAAGCCCACGTGGGGAAGTCCCTTTTAACACCTTGATATCTTCACTTTTCTTTCACTTTTTCTTTCTTGTCTTACTGAATAGACTGAGATTCCCAGGAAATCAGACTGCCATTTCCCAAGGCTGTTGCTTGCCCTCAAGCAGGTCATTAAAGAGACCCTCCCTGACCTTTCCCACTCACCATTAATGGGAAATATGTGAGATTGAAAAGGCAAGTGAGCATGACAGCTCCATGCAGCCCAGCACGCTTCCGGAGGAGCCTGAGACTGGGGCGCAAAACAAAGAGCTGCCCAGTGCTCTCTGCCTGTCCCGACCCTCGGCTGGCTGCCCCTGGGGGACAGGAGGCACCAAAGGAACCCAGAGCAAAAGGTGGCAGTGGAGTGGTAGTGGGGAAAATATTAACAGTGGTAGTGGGGAGATTAATTGTTAATTTCCAGCTTGTCTGAACTCTCTCCTAAACTTTAAATACATTGCTTCTGGCAAAAAAGCCCCCCAAAAAGGAGAAAAGGCGAAGATAACAGAAGGGTAGCTGAAAGCATTTTTTAGCAACGGGCTGTGGCATTCATACAGGATCCACTGGATCTGTGGGATAACACTGGTATGCTGGGAAGTGTGTGTGTCAGCTGTGTGGCTTTCATCAGCCAATTACTTGCTGTTCTGGGGCCACCATGTTCCTATTAACCTACAGAAGCAGTATCAGATTCCTGTCCCAGTGAATACTTTTGTATCTCCAACCTTTGAAAGCTCAGAGCATTTTTCTGAGCAAGGAAACCAAAATTCCTTTTTTGTCTCGGTAGTGCTTTCAGATGTGACAGTCCTTTCAGGTCCAAGAGTGTTAGCTCAGAAGTGGGACCTCTTTTGCCTCTGATACTGCAACTTATCCTACTCCTCCTAAGCAGAGCTATGTAATGAATTCATAGTCAGGCCCACACGCTTGTTCTCTTTGATATTATCTTGCTCCAAGATAAATGATAGTTCACAGTCATTCAGGCTTGGCAAGCCAATGCTGCATACTGCAGCTGTTGTTGCCAACAGGAAGGGAGGGTTTAGGCTGCACTCAAAAGAAAATAAATAAATAAACCAAAGCAAAAAGTCTCTCTTCAGGAAGTTATGCCTGATGACAATAGGGCATTGGACTAGAAATCCCTGTCTTTGCATGGATTTTCATGAGAAAACATAATGCAAAATCTGTAATCTCAGCCTGTAAAAACTGTGGCAAGATTGAAAAAAGGCTGAGTGGAAAGCTCTCAGCATCATCCTTCGTTGTCCACCCTACATAGCCTCCCATCCTTGGAGAGGGTGTTTGGATCCACCGCCTGGACCTTTGAGGAGAGGATGTAGCAGCAGCTGAAGCGGTTCTTGCCTGGTTGTGAGTTCAAGATGGGCCTCCTGCCCGTACTGATGGCCACATTTGCATGAGTCAGTGGTGTGTCCCACCAGGCCACGTGCCATGGTCACCTGGTCAGCTGGCGTGAGAGGTTGTGTTGGCTTTCTTCTCTCCTCTGCTGGCTACACATTTCAAACTGTCATAAACATGCAAGGCTGGTGAGCTATGTGTGGTTGGGATGGATCCCAAACTTTGAAGACTGTCTGCGGGTCAAGGAGGGATATAGCTATGGTGCAGCAGAAGGTAGGCTGAATCCTGAAGGAGGGCTACTTCATAGGAGAGATGCTTCAGGAAAGCATTTGGCTCTGCACACCCTGTGAAATATTTTTTTCTACCGATTACCTTCTTCTCCATCTCTAGAAGGAACAATAGTCTATTTGTTACCTTTGCAGTAGGGTCTCCCCCCTGACTTCAGTCCTCTTGTTTGCTTCCTGTTTCCCATTTATTTTTGTGCTAAGAGGATGGGGGTTCCTGGCTATAGACTATCCATCCCCTGTGTGGGCCAGCTCACATCTGCAGAATGTCATGGAGAATGAAACCTTTGTAACCATGCAAAAGGGATCAAATTAGACTTGTCACCCAGGATGGACTACGAAGCTAGTATAACTCATCTTTTATGTGGTGTCTATGCTGCAGTGACTGTAAGTGCAACTATCTTGTGAAATCCTTGGGGCACAGAGCAGGAATTTTCTGTCTGCAGTCATAACAGTATTGTTACTGAACAAGTTCTTGACCCTTGCATAAGGCCAAAAAAGAAGGATTTACACTGGAGATAAGAGACCAACCCTCCTTCCTACTTCGTATCTCAGGCATACCTCTTTATTTTTACCACCCCTCTGACTTCTATTTGAACCTTTAGGATATATTCCTATCCCTGGAGCACAGCGTACCTCCTGCTTTGCCTTATCTCACAACTATTTGCAGTTAAAAGATATAGTGTACCTGTTTGTGTGTAAGGCATCCCCACTTAGGCTGTTAGTTTATTTGGGGCGAGTTCTTTTACATTTGTGTCTGTAAATGTGTTCTCGGGGGAACCTCCAATGTCACTACAGTATGAATCCTTCTCAAAACATACCATCACTCTGTGAAATAGAAATATATAGAGTTTCTACATCTTCTCTACAGCCTTGTGCTTGGCTTTCCATGAACTGTAGTTCATTTAATGGACACCATGGAGGGAAAATGGGTAAGGTCAAGAGCTCAGTGGACAAAGTGTTGCAGATTCTCTGTGACTAGCTATAATGTTGTCATGTCCAAAGATCAGACAGGATGCTTTAGAGACACTGATTCCTGCCTCCTCTCCAATCTAATACCCGATACAGCTGAAAAGTGTGTCATCTGCTCGTACTCTAGACCAGTCAACAGGATGTTGACATGCTGTTTGACAGTGCACGTTTTGGACAGTGGTAACATAAGCTGGGTAGATGTGGAGGGGGTGAATCATGCTATCAGTTCTTGCTGAGTTCAAGAAATCTGAGAGCAGGCTTTGGTACATGGATTTCTCATAACAAAAGAACTAAAAGATAAATAAAATAAAGTTAATCATGCTGAGCTTTAAAACAAAGAAAAGGGACGACTTGCTCACACAAAACAGAATTAAACACTGGAAGTCATCATTCCTAGGGGATCTGGTGCAGTTAGAGCTTCAGTTGAAAACCATCATTCTTGTTTACATAGTTGGAACTGTATTATCTGTAGCATAATTTCAATAAGTTGTTTTTTATTAGGTCATTGTAAAACTCCGAAGTG